GGTTGCGCTTCTGCAACTAAAGAACATAAACATTAAGCTGCCGATTGTTTACGACAGTGTACAACTTATTAAAGAATACCGCAACATTATACAGTTTAGCTTCAATTGGGTCAAAGGACATTCAAATATACAAGGTAATGAAAAAGCGGACCAACTAGCCCGCTCAGCTCCCATCAGGACCACAAGATGCTCCTACGATTTCACTCCAACATCTTGGCTTAAAAAGCAATTACGTGACAGTACTTGGAACAGTTGGCAAAACAGGTGGGCAAATAGTACTACAGGTAGACTAACCTATCGTTTTATACCGAATGTTCAACTCAGGAACAGTAGCAAGTTTATAACACCAACTTTTCAAATAACACAAATGATATCTGGTCACGGAAACTTCAGGAGTTACCTTAAAAGGTTTCTACATAAGACAGACGGACTTTGTACCTGTCAAACGAATCAAGAAGATAACCCGGAGCACGTTTTGTTTCACTGTCCACACTACAGTAGGCAAAGAAAAATGTTAATAGACTCTGTGCATACATCAAATGAACTGTGGCCTTGCCCATTAAAAACTCTGACGAGCAACAAAAAGCTATTTAATGCACTAAAAAACTTCACCGCCAGCATAAAATTCCTCGATTAATTTTAAAGTGTTTGCTTTCACCGACAAAGTAATTACCTTCTGCAGGAATATTAATTTTGTAATTTCTGTATACCTAATACGATACATATGTCGTCTTTGTTATTATAAGTTTACGGTACACTTTAATATTGTATAAATTCACAATCTGTAAATCTATCTCTAAGCAATAACTTCTTATCTGTTAACTGTGTAAAACCTTCCCATATGTATTCATAGCATTAATTCATATCTTCAATAAATGTACAACTACATTATAATTTAATTTTTACATGTAAAAGTTTATATTTGTAACCGTTGTTTTAGATATATAATATTTCTTTTTGTACCTGCTAATTTTATTGAAACATTATTATACTGTATAGCTACAATAACTATAAGCTCAACATTCAGCATGTAATTCTTCACTGTAAATACTGTATTCAAATTTTGTACAAACGTTTTCTCTGTATATATTTTATTACTTTAATTGTAAAAAGTGTAGCAGTGACCATAAGGTCAAATTGTATATCTTAACTTTCATTCTGTCCTATTTCGCTTTCTTTCACCTACAAACTTAACTCTTCCTATAACTTTTATCCTTCTTTCCTTTTCAAGTTTCTTAGGCTATACCAATGAGTGCGGCCAATAAACAATTCTCTAATGTCTAATGTCCATGGAACTCTAAGTAATCTTCTCCATACCCATAATTCGAATGCATCTATCATTTTTCTTTCCTTTTTCCTTAGAGACAAATTTGAGACAACTTGCTTAATTGAATAAAATCAAATAATGAAGTTTACACTTAAGGAAATATGGAGGATTTCGAAAACCGTATTAGAGTGAAACCAGAAGTTGTGTTGTACGGGAAATATCCACAATTTTCAAACGATGTTAGAGTGAAACCGTGTTGTAGAAGACAGTGATGTATGTGAGATACCTGTACTTCAAAAATAGACCTTTTTGCTTTGGAATGTTTTGGCATCTCTGTAATTTATGGCTATGTCCTGAAAATTTGCTTTATATATTTTGAGTATTTCTAGATGTTTAAAATTGGTTTCTACTAGGGTGTATTAGACTTGCTTAATTGAGAAGTACCTTTATATCATTTTCAGATGCAAATGTTACTAATGTTGTGATGGAAAGGCCCTTTTGGATAGAATAATGGTTTTCTGTGATGCAGTTGTGAAGAGATTGAGCCATTGCTGTAATGTAGACTCATTTCTTGTTGAATCTGTTGTCTATAATGTGGATAGAATATACTTGAGATGAATTCTGTGTGTTGATAGTCTTTGGCATTCTGTAATAAAGAGAATACAGTTGGGTTTCTCATTTAGAAGATACTAAGTTGGTTTGTTCTTGCAATTTGTTCATAAACTCTAGAAAGATGTTGGTTAAATCTGACAACTTTTTAGGTTTTAGATACATCCTTATTAGATGTGTGCTTAGATTGATATTTACAGATGAGAACAATTGCATGGCTGGAATTGAACAAGGCTGGAAGGATACTCATGTTGTTTTGTTATGCTTGCAATGCAGTTTAGTTTAATATCTCTGTCAATGATGTTAATGGAAAGAGTGAATGCTCTTTCAACTAGTTGTGGGGTAATTTTCCATTCCATGCCTGAAGAAATTGCTAGTTTGGAGTTAAATAAGTCTTAAAGACAAGTTTGAAGGACATTATTATCAAAGGAGTTTCCTTGAGTATTGTTGGATAGAGAGTGGAAAAGGTGGAAATCTGAGGGCACAAGATCAGGAGAATAAGGGAGATGTGGAATAACCTTCCAACCAAGCTCCTAGATAGCTGCTTTTTTTATGTTATTGGAGTGTTGGTGTGCATTATTGTGCTACAGCAGCACTTGATGCAGTCTTTCTGGATGTTTTCAAATGCAAATGCTGCTTAATGGTTGACTGGTCACAGTTCATTATGTTTGCCAATTCTCAGGTTGACTAATATGGATCATCATGGATTAAAGCATTTAAATGGTTTTCATCAAAGCCCAGTGGTTTTTCTGAATGTGGAGAAATACTCCAGTCAAAGTAGTCCTGTTTGAAATGACAAGACCATTTTTTTTTGTTCTGCTTTCCCCTGTGGCAGTCTCCCTGCACAGAAAAATGTTTTGAGCTACTTCTGCTGCTTTTACACCTCTGTTAAACTCAAACAGAAGAATATGTTGGAAGTGTTTTTTATCCTACTTGACATTTCATCTTCTTTAGCCCAGAAATAGCATTAACATTTTTCAAAGCTGTAAAATGCAAGGTGTATTCAAAAGCACAGCATTGTTGCTACAATGACAAACAACAAACAAACTCCCAACACTTCAATGTTGCCATGCCAGAAACAAATGCTACGAACTTCAGCATCAACCCAATATTATTTATATCACAATAATTTTTGATTTTCTTATTTTCAGGTGAAATATAGCGAATTTGATACATTTAACAGTGATAACAACATTAAAGTTGTAGAGGAANGATAATTCAGGGGTGCCTCACACTTATACAGTATTGTGTTAGTCTGATTTACATAGTCTGCAGGCAACAGATAATTGGTCTTTATTCAAATAGTGTTAGCACCTGAATGCAGACACCCTGTATTTGGATATGTCAATTTCAATTTGTCATAAAAAGATCCTTTATGTACTTTATTATTAATAATATTGCACATATACTTGGACAATGATGTTGAAATAAAAGTGATGTTATTTTTTTTAAGATTTTGTGACACATTTAATGTGCTGTGGCACACCCTTTGAGAAACACTGGATAGCACATTCAGAGTGTTGAATTTTTGTAATGACTCCTTGTTTTTCTAACTTGTCTAGGGCTTCTACTGCTTGTAACATGGCAAACAGAACTGGGCGTGGCTTCTTAAACTGTGGTATAGCATCCCTTTTTCATTTTGATGTGTATGTTCACAGGTTCCAAATGCAAGATTCCTCTGAAAATTATTCAATTGCAATAGAGAACCCATGATTTAACAGGACATTAGTATACATTGTGGCAACAAAATAAAACCTAAAACAAAGGCTTAAAGAACATAAGTATACCATTGATAAGAAACTTTGCAACACAGCATATGCTATCCAACAAGAAGTACAGGTCAAATGGGAAGATGCTACAATCATCCAAACAGCTAAGGACTTCAACACACTTAGGCATTTAGAATTAATTAAAGCAGGTGGAAGTTCTATTGGCTTTATATATTTCTAAGGTCTAGAGACCCTTAGAAACATATAAAGCCAATAGAAATTCCACCTGCTTTAATTACAGGGATGCAGACTCACTATCTATTGCATTGAAGTCTCTATATGAGCTTTAACTTGACTTCCTTTAATGAGCACTTCTACATTATTATTTTATTGTTATTCTTATTTTATTATTTTATAGCAGATGATTCCAGTGTTGCTCAAGCAAAAAATAATAACAGCAAAGATTAAGATTATTAGATTATTTTGTACTTCTAACCTTTCTACTATATTATATTATAGTATTTGATTTATGTTTACAAATGTTATCTTATTATGTTAGTTCATCATACCAAGTGCCCAATCTAACACATTTTAAAAGTTCTTTTTTGAAAAAATTTGGAGACCTAAAAGACACCCAAAAATTGAAGAAAAATTTTTTTTTCGGGGCTGAAAGGACTGAGTTTTTTGTAACGCTATGTAAACTTGACGAGTTATCTCGTCAATGGGGAGGAAGGGGATTGTATAGAGTAGAGGAATAAAGAATTTTTAAAATGTGTTAGATTGGTCATTCATGTGATAAGCCCTTACATAAGACAACCTTTATAGTTATATAGCTTATCTTACCCATTTTCACCAGGTGCAAGACCCTCTTCTTCCAAAGCTAATTAGAGAATTTTTAGACGGATCTAAAAATATGTTCAATTTCCCGCAAAAAACTGCATCTAAAATAGTATAGTAGAAGCCAAGTTCTTCAGGATAATCCTTAACTCTCTCCCTTTCCCCATGGGGGAATTTCGAAAAATCCCTTCTTAGTGTGCATTCTCATGGTGTACCCTGTGTACCAAATTTCAACTTTCAAATCCTAACAGTTTGGGCTCTGCACTTATTATTATCATCATCATTATTATTATTATTATTTATATTTTGATCTTTCTACTGGTATTAATTAAACCAAACACTTGCTGTAATTAATCGGACTATTTTATGCTACAATTGATACTTAGAAATTGATACTAGAGTTGGACATTGGGTGCCATCTCTTATCAAAATTAATAATTATAATAATTTAATTAATACTATATTTCTTAAATAATTTAGAACAGTCTAGAAGACTGTTCTAAATTATTGCAAATTTGACTCTCTCTTCAGGCCAATTCGTTTCTTCCAGACTGTTCTACTAAATTATTTAATAAATATTAGAGGTTGCGGCTGACGTTTTCATCGCGAAAATGTGTACCTCGGACATTCAGCATGGCCTTCCTGTAAGCCTAGAAGTTTGACAATGGCGTTTGGAACATCGAGCATGATTCCACTGACATTCCAAATGACATTGTCAAACTTCTAAGCTTACAGGAAGGTGGCACTGAACGTCCAACGTTCACGTTTTTGCAATGAAAACGTCGGCCGCAACCTCTCTATTAAGTTATTATAAATTAATAAATTTTGATAAGAGATGGCACTAACATCTACTTCTAGTAACAAATTACTTAATTTTTACTTATTAATTGTAGCATAAAATAGCCCAATTAATTATGGCAGTTGTTTGGTTTAATATTAATACATCTGGCTTTGGGATGTTTATATATATGTTATACTGGTATTTATTGAATATTCTTTTTATTAAAATATGTTATATTTTTGAATACTCAACTGATGAAGACCTATCAAATTAGTTTTGAAAACATTTTAACTTTTTGCTGGAGTTGATTTCTAACGTGTGAATTTAGTTTAGACATTTCATCCAGTTTCTGTATTTTGTTGTTTGTCTGTTTACTGGATATATTGATGATGTGCTGATAACATGGAGGAGATGTTAACTTTTGCAGTATCTCCATGCAGAAAGTAATAAAATAATAAAAGAAAGTTAAAAAATTTTATTACTCTGTACCTATCTCCACCATTGTTACTGCTATTTCATGCTTCGCATATAATCTATTAATAGAAAAGCTTGAATAGAAATACAGTCAACCCCTCTATAACACGGTAGATACATTCCGTTTTTTATGAAATTCATGTTTTATGAGTCCTTAAATACATGAGCCAATCACAGCCTGGCACGTATGCAGTTTACGGACTATGGCTGTTTGAAAGGTTTTCTTCCATAAAATTAATCAATTCTAGACTAATTTGACTCAACATTTCCAAAACACATAATTTTTTGGGAATAATCCGTATGAACTATGCTATAAACAAAAAATTGTAGGATTACTTACCGAGTGTACATTTTTCGACGATGCCATTGCTTAAGCTTGTTTTCATCGCAGAGCGGCGCATCGAATGGCAGGCGTGTTTTTCCTGATAAATTATTTTTCTGTGAAAAATTTGCTGAACTTCAGAGACATCATTAATATAAATATAATTTTTATGGCCGTTAAATAATAAATGGTTTTTAGTAGGTCTGCTGCTTGTTTAAACTCAATGGTTTGTGCAAAATCCGCTATTGGTCTAGATTTGACTAATCCTGTCTCAACATGAGTTGGCAATGACGTTTTACCGTATCATACAAGTCTCTTTTAGCATGTTTATATGAATACAGTCGCAATTTTTTTGCCGTTATATACAAATCCGCATTATATGAACCCGTTTTATAGGGGGGGTCTACTGTATAGCAATTGAACTAGGCATTTGTACCTATATTGATTTATGATCAATTATATTATTTCAAATTTCAAATGATTTATTATTTATTTTTGTAATTTTTAAGTTTTATAGTTAAAAGTTTATATTGTTACCAGTGTTATGATGTGATTACATCTGCAGTATTACTTTTTAAATTAACTTATTGTAATTATGAATGCTTCAGTTATAATTCTTACAGTGAGCATAGATAAGAATTAGAAGTATGTTTAATATTGCATCATAGTAAGAAATACAATTCTCTGTTACAAGACATGGATGGCCAGAACTGTCTTGAGACTTGAGTATATGAAGTCTTTTATTTTTTCTGGACTCAAGTAATGAAAAAGTGGACTTGTTCATATTTAGTAAAGAATTGAAATTTATCATTGATAACAAATACCAATGTTTTCATTGATACCAAAATAGTGTAACAAAACAATAGTAGCAGGTCAGTGCAGTAACTTGCAAAATTTAAAATTACACTACCCAAAATTACTGTCTGATTAATGATGGTTGATGTGTACTTAAAAAAAAAAAAAACAGTTCCTTTTTTGCATTTTTTTATTAGAAATGATATATTAGTGGAAAATGTTCAAATCTTTTTAATACAGTGTGTCCAAAAAGTCCTTGACACATTTTAAAAATTTCTAAAAAATGAAAAACTACATGAAATAGGAACATAATTTATTGATTTTAGGAACTGCTAGAACTTTTTTGGTTAGTTAATATACCTCAATTTGTGCAGCGAACATCAAGTCAATATTCAATTTCTGCTATGTATGTTCCAAAGTTGATTCTGTAACAGTTGCAATTTCAGCTTTTTAACAGTGTTCACTCTTCATGAATAAACAATTGAGGTAAGTTCCTAAAATCAGTAAACATTACATTTCTATTTCATGTAATTTTTCTTACAAAAAAATTTTAAAAATATATCATTTTTTAATAGTTTTTGTCAAATATATATCTTGCACACTTCTGCAATCAATTGCTTCATCTTTAGTTTTGTTGTGCATTTATTTACCCTTTGTGTATGCTTGTGTAAGATGGCTAATTGTTTTGTTATAAGTAGTTTACTTGCAGTGTAAATTGAAAATTCTACTTTATTTTAAATTGTCTATTATATTATTTATTTCTGTATGAAATTTGACTTACAACCATTTCAACTTATGTCTGAAGTTTCAAAACCGAATTCAGTCGTAAGTCATAATTATATTGAGTTATAATTTAATGTTTCATAGTAAAACCTGTACTTTACAATTCATATTTTCTAAAAACTGAGCTAAAGATATAGAACAAAAATTATAATAAAAACTGACATTTATTGAAATTATAATGCATAATAGTTTTTGAAATAGTTTTATATAAAAATGTAATTATGTCAAATCTCATGGAGAATGATATTTTCTGTTGAAACAAGCTATGCAAAGTGTTGGCTGCCCAGGACAATCATTACAAAATGTAGTTTAGTCACTTGTTTTGTGGCACTGTCTGTCTTTCAGCTGGTAGTGTTTTTATGTGCTTCTGCATAGCAACCCTGGCAATGGTGAAGTACTTTTCTTGCAGGACCTCATTTTTGCAGAGTATGAAATGCTTCATTTACTATTACAAGGAGGTGTCATCAGTTTTGTCTGTACAGTTTTGCTAAGTATTTTTTTTGGCCACCACTT